TTTTATTTCCTGAGCGCGAAACTCCCAAGGCAATTTTTTAGGTTGAATACATGGATTTTTTTCTTATCTATGACGTGAATTTGCAACTTTTTATTTCAATGACAGCTACAATTAATTTGTTTTCATGTAAACCCTCAATATGCACCTTTCTGTCACAGTTGACCTTGCTTTCAACTTTTGTTTCACTGTTTTCAAAGGGTGCTTTAATAAATGCTTGTTTTGTTTTCAAGGTAACGAGCATTCCCATATTCAAACACAACAGCCACGCTTTCCCAGTTAGGGATAGGAAGGGTAAGGGCTAGGGTTAGTGATTATAGGGTTAGGGATAGGGTAGGGACTAGGAGTAGGGATAGAGTTAGAGATAGGGTTAGGGATTACGGTTAGGGATAGGGTTGGGGTCAGGGTTTGGGTTTTGGTTAGAAATAGGGTTAGGGATAATGGTTAAGGATAGCGTTTGGGTTAGGCGTAGGAATAAGGATAGGGCTAGGGCTAGAGATAGGGTTAGGGATAATACGGGTAGGGATAGGGTTGGGGTTAGGGGAAGGGTTAGGGATAGGGATAGGGTTGGGGTTAGAGATAGGGCTAGAGATAGGGTTAAGGATAGGGTTAGGGACAGTAGGGTTAGGGTTGAGGATAGGGTTAGGGACAGTAGGGTGAGGGATATTGTTGGCGTTAGGGTTAGGATAGTGCGAGTGTTGGGGATAGGGTTAGAGAAATTTTGAGCTTTATTTTTACAGCAACATTTGACACAACTGAAAATACGACAACAAAAGTCAACATATAAAAAATATGTTACAAAAATAACAGGAACGTTGCTCACTTTTCAAGTACATAAGGAAGTTGCTGTAAAGAGGCTGGCTTCACAGGGCAAGGTATCTGAAGAACTAAACCACGTATCGGACCCACCACAAAGCATAACATGTTATTTAGCAGAACTCTTCGGTTGCCGATTCACTTTCCCCGGAAAAAAATGGCCTGCATGAAACTATTGAGGGTGCATTCCGCGAAATGGTTGTATTTCTGCGCGCGAGCTCATGAATATTTTGTGATCCCACGGGTTCTTACAATGAAACATGCCATAATCAGGAGGGATCATAGAAACATTTCTATAAATCCCAAATTTTGGACTGGCAGTTTCCAGTTCGGCTTATTTCATTTGCAAAAGCCCTAAATTGAGGGCCTAGTTGGATAGAGGCGGACGGCGACAATCAGAGCTGGGCGAATAGTTTTACTACTTTAGAGGTATCTTCGGGGAAAGGCGAATAAAAACATGAAATTGGAAGGAAAAGATCTTCTGGCCATAATGTTGAATTTCCGGTGAAAAAAGGAGACAAACCTTCTCAGAGAGTGTACCGGCGGCGCTTTTTCGCTCTGATTTTGTTTACTGCTTTCTATGGGAGCGTATTGTGGTGTAGTGCAACCTGCGAGAGTTCATGGGTTCACCACTACAAATAAATTCCCATAGACAGCTGTGATAAATCCCCACACTTCACAATTATTAAAAAAATACTCACAACTCTCACAGGTGTCCAGGCTGTGCAGAAAAACGATGATCGACATGTCCCCTTTCATTTTCCTTTCAATTCCCGGGAGGTTGACCAATGAATTTTTGAGAAATTTTCACCAGAAGCAGACCACCCCTTAAATGAAGAGAATATCCCTGCCCAGAAAAGTGGCCATTATTAAAAGCCATCCCTCTGAAAAACGGCCAAATAGTGCCACTTTCGGACCCGACTGCAACCAAATTGCTCATAATTGCAAGCCCAACGTCCGGGCCGGAGGCTCAGTGCCATATTTCTCCAATTTCTCGATTTGATGGGTCTAGAGATAAGGATGGGGATAAGGGTTGGGGTAGGGTTGGGTTAGGGTTAGGGATAGGGTTAGGGAGAGAGATAGGGTTAGGGATATTAGGGTTAGGGTTAGGGTTAGGGGTAGGCTTAGGGTTGGAGATATGGTTAGGGATAACAGGGTTAGGGATAGGGTTCGGGTTAGGGATAGGGTTAGAGATGGGGTTAGGGATATAGATAGGGTTGGGTTTGGGGGTAGAGTTAGGGATAGGGTTAAGGTTAGAGATAGGGTTAGGGATAACAGGGTTAGAGATATTGTTGGGGTTGGGGTTAGGGGTAGGGTTATGGTT